AAAAGAAAGACAATGGAATTGATTTCAAATCTCACACTTTTATTCTCACAATTAGGAATGTTTTGCGCACAAATGAGGCTAACACAGAGCATTGGAGAATTCGAAACTGGATTATTATAAAATTTTTGATTTATAACGCGCGCTCTGATTGGCTGATGACCGTGTTTATATCAGAGGGCAGAGACACAGTTGAAAAACACGAGAGAAGCAAGCCTAGAAACACGAGCGTAGCGAGTGTTTCTCTTGCTTCTCGAGGACAGAGACACGCGCGCCGTTTTATATTTCTTAAATATAGCTCACGTTAGGTTTTTGCAGTATATTACCTGTTCCATAGTTGTAGGAACGTGGGCTGTAAATCTTGTCTTGGAAGCTTTATTACTAACACTCTTGAATAACAAACGATATAATCATCATTATTTGTAATAGTTGCGTATACTTTTGCAGCATGGATTGTATAGTAGAAAGTTTTAGATACGCGTCTACGGCGAACGCCAAACGTCGCGTGATCACGTGACCACTGTTTTTTTCTGTATTAACGCTCCGCTCTTTTGTAATAGGATGGAAATATAATTACCTGGTCGTTATCAACCTCCCACAATCCTTTGAACTCAGGTTCTGCCAAGTCTTCTGTGATATCAATATCAGAATCTCTGTGGATCATGAAAAAGTTTGTTAACTTTATGAATGATTGAAGCAGTGCAGAAGGGTGAGGGGCTCCACAACCCCTCTTGACCAGCTACCTTTGGACTTTCAACATAACATATTGATTACAGTCAACTCTCGCTATAACGGACACCCTCGGGACCGTAATTTAGTGTCCTCAGTAGAGAGAGTCCGTAGTAACGAGAGTTATTTTCACTCATTTCTTTGTATTTTTCACCGGGCATTCAGTATTTTACTGTCCGCAATATCGAGGTGTCTGTAAGTCAAGAGTTGACTGTACATAATTATTGTGAGTGAGTAACTTACCCTGCTTTAGCCTCATCTCTACTAGTTTCTCCATAAGGTGAAAAGTCATCGTCATCAGAGGACACAGCAACCAGTCTACCAGCTATCCACTTGTCCTGTACAACATAAAGGCCCGTTAACACTTACGATTTTTGAAGTGTGATTGTCATGCGCGCACCAAAAATCGTACGTGTAAACAGCCCTGCGATTGTTGCGGCGATGGAAAATCACCACGAAGTTGCAACTAAATTTTAATCATGTTCGAAACTCAGGCGATGGTCGCGCGACTATCGCGCTTCAAAAATCGACTGTAAAGGGCCGTTTACACTTGCGATTTTTGCAACGTGATAGTCGCCAATTTGCTATCGCGCAACTAAAATCATACGTGTAAACAGCTCTGCGATTGTTGCAACAATGGAAAATCGCCGCGAAGTTGCAAGCATGTTCGAAACTCAGGCGATGGTTGCGCGACTATCGCGGCCACAATCACGCTTCAAAAATTACAAAATTAAGGGGCCATATGATTAAAGGACCATGATAAACCAGCATGCAATACGGTCATGTTTTAGTATATTTCATATCATATTTTGGAAAAACAAGGAAAATCGGTTCAAGGAAGGTGATCATATTCAAACATGAGCTAGTTTTTCGTTTCATGTAATTCACCACAACTTTGACATTCACTTACCCCGGTATCTTCTACATCAGCACTATACTCCATTGATGATGAGCCACTTGTTGACTTGAAAAATTTTGGCTTTGGCCGTCTCCTTGTGGCTCTCTGGTAAACAACCAAAATAGTTAATTATAGGTGGAACACACTTATTCTTTCTTTAAAATATGCCATAAAATCCAACTTTATCATTCAACTCGATGATTACAAATTTGCAGTTGTATAAAAAGAGGAATTTAACACCGTAAAAAAGTAAATAAAACAACTTACTAACGGACGTTAATCTTTCGTCTAAGGATTCGTTTCACCTACTTTTTAACGGCGTTAAATTTATCTTTTTATAC